CTCAGTGTCACCCATTTCTGTCCCTGCCAGGCTCAGAGGGGGTGTGAGCAGAGCTGAGCACGGGGAAAGCTCCATCCCTGTCCCTCCGCTGTCCCCTCCCGCTCCCTCCGCTGTCCCTGTCCCTGTCCCTGCTCCTGTCCCTGTCCCTGTCTCTGTCCCTGTCCCTGTCCCTGTCCCTGTCCCTGTCCCTGTCCCTGTCCCCAGCACAGGTGGCCGGGACGCTGAAGGAGGCCCTGGTGCCCCTGATCGGCACCCGGAGGTGCAACAGCTCCTGCGGGTACAGGGGTGAGCTGACGGCCAGGATGCTCTGTGCAGGACACCTGCAGGGCCGTGTGGACGCCTGCCAGGTAGGGCTGGGAGCAGGGGGGGGACACCTGGGGGTGCCTGCAGCCACCCCGGGACACCCTGGGGGACACGGGCTGCCCTGAGCTTCGCGTGCTCCCCGGAGAGCTCAGGGCCAGGCTGGACGGGGCTCGGGGGTGGCACCGGGCAGGGGGTGGCACTGGAGGAGCCCAGGGAGCCGAAGCAGGCTGGGATTGCCGGATCTGCCCCGCAGGGGGACAGCGGGGGCCCGCTGGTGTGCTGGGATGGGTCCATGTGGCGCCTGGTGGGAATTGTCAGCTGGGGCCGGGGCTGTGCTGAGCCCAACCACCCCGGGGTCTACACCAACGTGGCTCAGCTGCTGCCCTGGATCCACCAGGTCACCCAGGTAAGCCCAGCTCTGTGCACAGACAAATCCCAGGATCCCTTTAGGGCAGCCTCTCTTCTGGTACTGATGGCTTTTTTCATTTCCTTTTTTATTGATTTTATCAGATCCACTAGAAATGAGGCAAGGACAGACTCCACACAGCAACACTGCCCTTCCCACAAGTGAAGAACAGCCCAGGACCGGCTCCTCCCGACTCTCTGTAACCCAAACAGACTCCCAGATGTGCTCAGTATAAATAGTTTATTAAAGAAAATAGCAAATTACAATTCTGTGAACAATCAACAGGAGAGAAGTGTTTTTCAAAATAGGTGTTTTTTGGATGACTGTGTTTGAAGGGGCAGGGGATCCCATGAGATGTCAGTGTTCTGGGAACAGAGGGGGAAAAACAAAAACAGAGGGGTTCTGCAAGGACTGCAGTGACATGAGAGCCTCTGCCCCTGCAGAAATGCCTGGAAATGGGAACAGGAGTGGGACAAAAGTGCCAATGACAAGGAGACAACAGAATAAAACATTAAACTCTGTGACTGAAACTCTTCTAAGCACTACAGGGTAGGAAGGACTTTGCTCCATGTGTGCAGCACCTTGGTCTCTGGGCTAAGTTCAGTGAATGCTCTCACTGAGTTTTTCAATTAAAATAAATGTACAATAACCCAAGTGTCAAACATAGCCTTTTGTGACTTCATGCTGTGAGTGCACCTTTCATTCCCTTTTTATTTTGGTTTACATTTCTCTCATCATCCCTGAAGGACAGAAAACACAACAGCAGAAAGACACCAGAGTTACACAGGTCACACCCAAGAGAAACCTAAAGGAAGGAGCTGAACTGCCTTCTACAGCTGGGAAAGTGACAATGGAAAGTTCTAAATCAGTTTGAAGATATTTTCTATGAAAAATAAGAGAATTTTCATACTTGTGAGAAATCCTGTGACCTGATCAATGGTTCATTCAGCACAGGATCTCCTTCCCCCACATCCCTCTCTAAAGTGTCTCTCCCTTGAGGTCTGCTCCTCAGGGGAAGCTGAGGTGGGAAAGTCTGGCACTTCTTGGAGGGATATCAAAAGCTCTCCAAGTCTGTGGGCTCCACGTATGGTTTGAGGGACAGAAGAGGTCACAGAGGGGCTGCAGGTCCCCTGATGTTGAACTGCATAGAAGAGTCCCAGCTGAGCACTGCAAACGCCCAGCCTGAGATGAGGTTACACAAACACCGAGCCAGGAAATGCTCCTTCCCCCCAGCCAAGCTCCAGGGAGCACCTCCCCAGTCCCAAAGTTTTTCAGACCAGTACAAGAAAGGTGAAATTAAAAAAAAAAAGTTTGCAAGTGTCAGTTTGCTCTTGCTGTGCCACAAGAGGCAGGTGTAAACTGGAGTCACTTGATCTTGGCCAGGGCTGCTGCTCTCCTCTCTGTGTTCTGGAACAAGGCTCGGATCAGACTCTTCACCTCAGCTGCTGAAAACTCCTCTGCCAGAGGCCCCTTGCCATCTGCCCACCTGCATGGGAGACAGGGAGAGCTTTATGTCACCAAGCTGCCCAGAAATGGCACCCCAAACAAGCCTCCAAGGACCTGTGCCAGGAGCTGATCCTGACCCCTGTTAGCTCCTGCCCTTCCTCTGAGCTCCAGCTCCCTGGCACAGGTCTGGAGAAGCAGCTGGAGAGAACACCTACTGATCCACAATTTCTTGGAGGTTGGCCTGCAGGATGATCATCAGCTCCTTGAATGTCATCCACTTCTGCACATAGACTGGAACTTCCTCTTGGTACTTCTTATTTTTGTCTTCTTCAAGCAGAGGGGTGAAAACTTGGGGTCCCTCCTCCACCATGATCCTGCAGAGTGAGTACAGCCTGTCTGCATCCTCTGCAGAGATATCCTGGAAGGGGGAAAACAACAACAGAGAGAAAAAATCAACAGAGAGAAGTGAGGTTTATTTTCAGAGTGCAGAGTCAAATGAAAAATTGAGATTATGAGAAGAGTTTCTGGAGGTGACAAATGCTGTCCCCAGCACCCCCCATGGCTGTTACCTCCAGGGCAGCAATCCTGGTGACAATCTCTGCCAAGGCTGTGTTCAGTAAGGCCCCCATGGCCTTGCAGTACACGTTCACAGGGAGCACATCCTGCCACACCATGCCCAGCCTCCTCAGCTGGTGCAGCACCTGCAAGGCAACAGCTGAGTGTGACACCAGACAGAACCCTGGGAAAGGCACCAGGGGGTCAGGTGAGTACAAATGGGCAGAAACAATGGAGCAATCCTGCTAAAGACACAGCCCAGGACAAAAAAAACACAAACCATCACGTCAGAAAATAGATGTTTTAGCAGTTCCACAGGTGTCAGGGCTGAGATGACACACTGCACCCTCCCCAGGATACCTGCAGGCACTGGGATGTTCTTTCTCTGCCTTCCTTACCTGCTTTATGGCTTTATTTGCTGCACAGTAATTCTCCTCATCATCCATGTTGGAAAAATTCCTGGCACTCGAGAGCCTCTCCAGGATTTCTCCCTTCTGCACTCGCATCTGGGCCAGAAAACACTCTATCCCTTTAGGAGCAAAACAAGCAGAGAAGCAATTAAGCAATTATGAAATCTGCTCTGCCTATTTATGACTCTAAGTGCTGAATAATGAACTTGCTACAATGTTTTATTTTTAATCAAGTTTCCAGTCTCCAAACAGTCTCCCAGAGCCAGTTTAACCAGTGAGCTCTTGTGCAGCTTGCGTTGCTACAACACTGCTGGGAAAAAAGCAGAGTAGGAGAATGAATTGTGGACGACTCCTGCTAGCTCACACAAACTTATCTCTGAATTTATTTCTGTAGAATAACTAATGAAAAAGACAGAGCAGCAGATCCCAAAACACAGTGCTACATCTTGCTGGATACTGAACTGTTCTTGGGACTAAGAAGATACAGGTTTCAAAGAGCCAAAACTTCCTAATTCAGAAAATGTTTTTGCCTCTTGTCCAAAAAACACCAATCCACTGCTGGCACTGAGTGAGCAGCCAAACCTCCACAAAACCATTCAGCAGCAACTGCCAGGGTGAATTCCCACATGATCCACAAACACATTTCAAGAGGGGAAGGTGGGGAATTACCCAGCCTCCTTATGCCAGGCACCAGGTCCACGAAGGTGGCAGCCCCGTTGCTGAGCACGCTGGTGCTGCGGAAGCGGAACTGGTGGCCCAGGGTGAGCAGGGCCTGGCTGACATCAGAGTAAAAACATTTGACCTCTCACATCCTCACAGGAACTGGCAGGAAAAGAGTCTGAAATGCCATTTGAACCCTGTGTTACCCTGTTGCACTATATTAGGAACGTGAAGCAGTACAACACAGGCTCTCTGTCCGAGTGTCACAAGAGAGCAAGTTTTATTATTCCACATCTTCTTTTACAGACAGTTCCGAGAAGGTCTGAGAGGTAAAACTCTCATTGGTCATTAAACCAACACATCACTACTACTGGGCAATTAAAAACTACACCCCTTGACTATTTCTTGCAAGAAAACAACAAGGATCCAAACAGCACCTGCAGAAGTTGTCCTTCTCCAAGGACTGCTTGGATTCCTCCTTAAAATTCCTCAGGCCACACTTCCTCAGGCCAGTCTGAGAAAGTTATGTGACTTGGTTTCACACAGGCTCTGTACTCCCTGCTTGCTTTCAGCATCCATATTATCCCACACTGTTTCCAGCCATGGACTTTCAAACAGGAGTAAATTTATTAGAGCAAAGTCACAGTGAGAAAAAGGGAGAGAAGTTCTCTGTCAGGCTTGTGAACGTTCCATCTTCATTGCTGTTCTTTTTTTTCACAGGAAAAACATCATGAAAAACCTGTGCATCAGATCTGAGGTCAAAGCTACATGGCTGGAAACAAACACAGCTGTGTGAGAACTTCACCCAGACCCTTGATGAGAAGACTGACAACACAGAAACTCTCAAGCACCTGCTTTGCACAGGTATGGTTTAATGAGAGATTGAACAGTTGATTTTTGCTGCTGGAGTCCCACTTGTAGTGGACAGCTGGGACTGTTGCAAC